ACTGTTTAGTGTTTCTTGGTTTGTTTTTGTCAACCATTGTTGGTTTTTCTGCTTTTACTGACACTGTTGTGGCCTGCCAGCAGCCAGCGGAGCTGGTGGCAGACTCGGACAGTGAGGAGATTGGGGAGGAACATGGGCCAGTCCTAGAGTCTGGGGAAGGCTCTGGTGAGTGCTCTGCATCGGAGGCAGAGATGCAGGGGCCAGGGCCGTCTGACAGTTGTCAGCTACCTTCGGAGTCGGACATCAGTGGGGCAGAAAAACACCTGGAGTCTGTTCCCAGTGTGCACATGTGCAGAGCTGCCAGGAGAAGGGAACAGCTAAGGAACAAGAGTCGATTCAGGAGTAAAGCCACAGGTGGACAGTGAATGGCCCCTCCCGTAGGGAATAAAGAGGAGCAAAAGGGGTGGAGAGTTTGCAGGAGACAATTAGTTTGCTTAATTGGTTTATGACTCTCAGACACTTCTTGCCAAGTTTTGAAGATATCAGCTTGGCCGCTCTCCAAGCCAAATAAGGTCTGTAACTGTAAATTCTCTCTCTGTAAATTCCTCTTATTCACATCCACTTTGCTGGATGTGAATGAGAGGAATTCACAGTAACCTAATAAAAAGGGATTTTTGTTGGGACAAGAAGTCTGCTTCATGCTCTTGGGAAGTCTAGGTCAGAACAGATATACACACCACACTCTCTGTCTGTCTGTCTGTCTCTCACTCTCTCTCTCTCTCTCTCTCACACACACACACACACACACACATTGCTAACTGCCCAGAATCACATTTGTAAGAGCCACAACCATATAACTTTGATTGAATAAATATTTATCCAGTGTCCTCTTTGCTAATACTGACATGTGGGACAGAAATTGATTCCACAGCCTTTTTGGATTACTGACAAATAGCAAGAAAAAGATCTTTTAAATCAATTCTATAGTGGCACTTCTAAGCCTTACACCTCTGAAGTAAGTGAATAGGGAAAATAGCCTTCCCTTCCTTGGAAAGAAATCAATCTTAAAAGCAATAAATAAATTTTATTTTTTTAAAAAAGGAAAAGGATGGAGGTCAGCTTCATCTCTATTTATTTTCCAGAAGACCCTCAATCCCTGGCTTTGTCGTCAGGCCTGGGGTCTCTGGACTTGTGGCTCCCTTGCTAATCTCATCTCTTGTGTGCTGCATTCTTTTTAAACTATTTAATATTAATGGACTTTTTCTTTTGTCTTTGTTGTATGCTTCCCACTGTCACTTCTTGTGAAATATATGATGATATAAATTTGATGTATAAAATAGTCATAGGAAAAAAATATTCAGTGACAAAGGAAAGGAAAAGTGCTCCTAAAATCATACAGCAATTAGAAAAGGTATCCTGTACAAAACTATAAACTGTAAAAGACAACAGCAATTGACAGAAGATAATGTTGATTTGTTACTAATTTGGAGGAACTTTCAAGTTGCATCCAGAATAATCTACTCAGCATGTAGAGAACATAAATATCAGGAAAGAAATGACCTCCAAATATCATAAAAGTAGTTTCAACACCATTCAGGTTTTGTTGTAATATATTTTGCTCACTTAAAAAACAAAGAACACTCAAAGAGATATCTTGTTTTGTATAATGCGTAAAAAAAATGATTGACTGAACTTTGTACAGTTTTAAAAAGGAACTTCTGTGTTCAGTTACTTGGGTATTAATCTAAATGAACTCAGTGCTGTGTTTGTGTAAAAGTATTTGTTTTGTAATTCCTCTAAAGAACTACAAACTAATGCCATGAAAGCGAAGATACAAAATCTACTGACAATCCAAACTGCTGACTTTGCAATGACAAAGTTGAAACTGTTTCACATTTAATATGTGAGTGCAGCAAAATCACACAAACTGATTACAAAGCTAGACATGACCAAGTTGCTAAATTAATCCACTGGTCATTATGTAAAAAATATGACTTACTTGTATCCAAAAAGTCATGGAAACATAAAGTGGAAAAAATTGTTAAAAATAAGGTGAAGATCTTGTGGGACTTTCGAATATAGACGGATCGTCATTTGGAACACAACACATATTAACAGTTGTTGAAAACCGAAGAGTACAATTTATTGATATCGCTGTACCAGAAGATGCCAGAATCGAAGAAAAAGAACTGGGAAAAATCATGAAATATCGTGACCTGGCCATCAAAACTACGTGATTATGGATGAAACATGTGACAGTGATACCCATTGTCATCGGGGCACTTGGCACCATATCCAAGAATTTTACAAAGTACATCAAAAAATTGCAGCAATAACACCAGCGTAACTGCAAAAGACTGCACTACTCAGAACAACATACATTTTAAGAAGATACCTAATTGATACCTAGGATGCTGGCAGCAACCTGTATCAACCATCAGAGCCAGTCTATGATATTTGTGATACATTTTTAAATGTTCAGTTGACTGAGTTTTATTTTAATGAATAATAGTAATAATAGTAATAATAGTAATAATAATAATAATAATAATAATAATAATCAGTTGCCAAACATCTGAATTTTGATCACATGATCATGAGCATGCCGCAAAGGTTGTAACTGAAAAATGGTCATAAGTCACATTTTTCAGTGCTGTTGTAACTTTGAACCATCACTAAAAAAACTGTTGTAAGTCAAGAATTCTCTGTACTCCTTCCTGCTCCTCTTTTTTCAACAACCCTATGAAGTGGGTTGGGCTGAGAGTGATTAGCCCAGTCACCAAGCTGGTTTTCATGCCTAAGGGAAGCCTAAAACACCTGGTACCAACAATGTGAAATCTCTGACAGAGAATTCTCCAAAATCACATAATTAACTCCTACAGTCTAAGAGGATTTTGAATCTCGGCCTACATTCAGTTCAACCTATTAAGGCTCCCATATTTTGGCACTATAGTAGAAATAATATACCAACAGGTTTTTAATATTCAATATTATTACTGCTGGGCATTTAGCTTTCACATTGTCTGTCATTTATTATTAGCTCTGTTTCTAGACATTTGTCTATTAATGAGTGATTCTAAAATAGGTTGCAGGCCACTTTGAATCTGGTGGATCTTGAGCTGTTACACTCCCATTAATTACTGTACACAAGGTACTTCATTTCCCAGTTATTTAATCACACAATTCTTTGACTTGTTCAAATTATACTTCACTAACAATTTATAAGCAAGCCCTAACAGGGGATTCTGAAGCTTTGTGTTGCAAGCCTTTCAAATTTGGTCAGCAAAACTTTGATCAATTTGTCTATGCTAAGCCAGCTGCAAACCTTTTCAACAAAAAATAGCAAGGGACAGCCACACAATATTCTGGTTATTTTTTTAAGGACTTCCATGTGGGAAAAACAGCAGAAAATTATCTGGTGCAGAAGCTCTTGCTGGGTTCCTAAGTGAAGAAATCATCTTTAAAGGAACATTGTCTTCAGACATCATGTTTCAGCATAAAGTAATCTGCTCTTGAAAGGTGATGTGTCAACCCAGTGACTAACAAGCCAATCCATGCATATTGTTGAATAAATGATAACTTGTTCAAACATATAATGGTTAACTATAAAGCATAGTTTATAAACCACAACGTTTGCGTTTTCCCAATGCACAATCTCAATATCCACGATTTATTGTCGATGGAGGCACCAATCACCCTGACCCCCAAATCACTGGTAAGTCAACCACTCTATACAACTGGTGGGAAATAAATACAACAATAAATAAAATCTTAATGCAAGGTGTGAACTTAACATCTACATCAGGGGTGAAATCCAGCAGGTTCTGACAGGTTCTGGAGAACCGGTAGTGGAAATTTTGAGCAGTTTGGAGCAGGGTGGATTTGATTTAAATCGAGTTGATTTAAATCACAATTTAAATCACTAGCAAAAAGGCTTGATTTAAATCAACTCGATTTAAATCATAATTTTTAAAGAGCAACTGTCATCTCTGCTACTCCTTTGACCCACTGTTGACTCACCGATAGTCCCAGTGTTGCAGAATATACAGTCTCATGCTACATAACTAAGCTCCATTTCATGCTGAATAAACTAAATTATTTATGTATCTTAAATAGAAAACTATCTTATGATAGATTTTTACCCAAGTTTTTTATTAAAATACATTTGATAAAAATCAAAAAAATCCGATTTAAATAAAAAAAAATCTGATTTTTTTGATTTTTTAAAAAAAATCATTGATTTTTATCCACCCTGGTTTGGAGAACCGGTAGCGGAAATTTTGAGTAATTCAGAGAATCAGCAGATACCACCTCTGGCTGGTCCCAGAGTGGGGTGGGAATGGAGATTTTGCAGTATCCTTCCCCTGCCACACCTACCAAGCCAGACCCCAGAACCGGTAGTAAAAAAAATTGGATTTCACCACTGATCTACATGCCAAAGGGAAATTTGACACCAGCAACTTTCCATGCAAAGTCCCAAAGGTGCTTTTTCAAGGGACTTTCTGGTTTTTCAACGGACTTTCTGGTTTTTCTTTGAAGACGTTTCACTTCTCATCCATGCTTCCGCTTCTCATCCAAGAAACGAAACATCTTCGAAGAAAAACCATTAAGTCCGGTTTTTCCCCCTTGAAAAAAAAAGCACCTTTGGGACAACCACGACTTGAATGACTGAGAATCTCCATAGACATTTCCTTGCAAAGCTGCACTCGTCTGCAGCAGTTCCCACACCCACAACCCACACACACCTCACTCGCTGGACTACAAATCACATAACCCCCACCCAGGATCGGCTCTTGGGATGCAGGTTGAGGAGGAAGGCATTTAAGGACTCGCGCTCTCTCCCCTCCAACCCTCTCCGCTTCCCTCCCCCCGCCCCCCCCCCGCGAACAGAGCGGAGGTGAGCGCAGCCGCAGCAACTCGAGAAGCCGCGTCACGCGTCACGCGCAGGAGAAAGGTCAGTCGCTCGGTCCGAAGGGAGGCCCCGCCCACAGATGGAGTGATATCCGAACGAAGCAATCGCTGTGCTCCTTGCCCTCCAGCTCCCCTAGTGGTGACCCGATGTACCAGCCTTGGAAGTAGAGCCGGCGAGGAACCTGCAGTTCGCCGGCTACAATAGGTCTCTTTCGCAGCCGAGGTGCATCTTCTCCCGGTTCGCGACCGCTCGGATTTCCTTGAACTGCACCAAAGCGCCCAAGCGCTTGGAATCGCCTTTTCGGAGGTGAGAGGCTGGGGTTGGAAAGGAGAACCGCCGGACAATAGTGCGGATTTGCTTGCTTGTGCTATGTTCTTGAGCGCCTGGACAAGATAAGGGTTTATTGGCAACGTATGCAATGTTAAAAAAACATTGGGAAATGTTTTTATGTACGATCCTGGAAAATGCATGAAACAGAGAATTAGCCACATTTCTCCTTTCATTTTTTGCCCCCCACTTAAGTTACGACGGCTGCGCTCATGCACGGATCTGGATTTTAATTTAAAATTCCGAAGTGTTTTAAAGTTGTTGTTTTCGTGTGTATTGGTCTATGTTCGGGTGGGAAGCGGTGTCCGCTTTGTTTTCTCAAAACCGATCCGTTAGACTATAACAGCCGAAATCCCCACCTGGCCAGCAGTTGGCCAGATTGTGTGGGAATTGAATAAGTTGGAACTGAATAATAAGAATATTGTGTTAGACTGCTGTGTCTAATGCAGGAAAGTTTTGGGATCGGACAACCCAAAGCGCTGGCGTTTGCAAGGGATTTTTGTAAAAGGTTATTTCAGGCTCAGAGGTAGTTTAAGGCTCTCCCTTCGCTGATTGACTCATTTTATGTTTCTTGAAATTGTTGTGTAAGAGCTGTATGTCTTGTGAAGATAACAGAATATGTAAAGATGCCCAAATTCCCTTTAACTTCATAGCACCTTCAGTTTTTTTACAGTATTGTACATGTACTTGTTTATTGAGAAAAACCCTGCTTGGATGAAGCTATAAAAGAACAAGTATTTTATACTTTTATACTTCCTGGAATAAACTGCTTTCGGTAGAATTTCTGTGCGAAACATCTTGACATGTAATAGATTACTAAGGAGCCAATGTTTACATTTGAGTTGTGCTATTACTTTTTGTTCCTGTTCCAAAAAAACCAACCCTCTACTATGGTAGATAAAAATCAGATTTGTGTTTGTTTATTGTTTTAAAATAATTGAGGTTGCTCATTAATACAATTATTCCTAGAGAGTATAGAAAACAATACAATATTAAATATCAAGTGCAGGTTTGAGGAAAGAAAAATACTTCAACAGACATCAAAAACATTGCACAGAGAAATCTTCAAATATAGTAGAATTTCATAAGTTTGTTAAAATCCCTAAATCTATTAATTGGAGACAAGCAACCAAAATATACTTAGGTTTTAAAAATTCAGGGTTTAGGAATTTGTCACTACCAAAATCCTAAGGCTAATACTGAGAATCCCAATCCTGGATACCTGCAATATCTGTGATATAAATTATTGCTGTTTTTATTAAATAATTGTTGTGGCCTGTCAGCAGCCTGTGCAGTGAGTAGTTGATTCCGACAGCGAGGAGGCTGGTGTGGTGCTGCGCCAGCAGCCTGTGCAGCTGGCACTCGAGTCAGACAATGAGGAGGCTGGAGAAGATGTGGTGCCATAGGCAGGGATTCATCCAGGGCCTTCAGAACCTCCAGAAGCTCCCATAAGTGAAGAGGAAGAAGAGGAAGAGCCTCTTCTTGATGCACGGGCGTGCAGAGCTGCCAAAAGGCAGGAGTGGCTCCTCAGGAGGAGGTCTCCTCGAGAGTAAGGCTTGGGGCTTGACATACCAGACTTTTGGATTACAATACTATAACAAATTGAGAACCTAGCAGAATAACATTGCTACTGCAATATCCATATAGGTAACTGCCAGACATTAAAATATGCTTCTCCAAAAGATATTTTTACAACTTCTCTTAAATTTTACAGAGTGTAAGAGACAAGATGAGTTTGCACTTACTGATTTGCTGTTTTTGCAAAACTGAAGGTGGAACTGAAAACCACCAGTATTTATATCTCTGCTGTATGCCAGATTCCAAATTCTACACTTTATAATCCTAAAAATGATTGTGTTAACTCTCTAACTGTTGGAAGACCTGAAAGATCAGGTTAAGACATATAATCATGGAGAAAGTAGGAATTTTATATTTTAACTTGGAGCACTCTGTTTTTGTAATGAAAACATACCAGCTGCAATTGCTCTGTGCAATCACAAACTGAACAAGCTTTGTCTTGAAGTTTGTAACATTTTGACTGTCGATAGAAGATCATATCTATGCAGCACCTTCCTTAATTTATCAAACAGAATCTGCACATTTATTTTGCAAGATGGGAACAAATGAGAATTATTTTTAGTGTTCTGTAATCCTTACCACTTTGTAGATATAAACCAAGAGAACAAAGCTTCATATCCAGGGGAAGTGATGATATGGGGTGGGATTAAGGTAAATATATTAGCTTTTGGCTACATAGGTATGCATATTTTAGCTCTTTATCTTATTCAGTAGAATTTCTGAAATGATGGATCTAGGCCTCCAGGTGGCAATTTAGAGGGATTTGTTACATTTTTTTAAAAAAAAACCATCAGCCTTGCACAGGAAGTGTGACAGCATTGCCACAGCCTAAACCCACTGAAATTATTAGTTGTATTCATGAGGCGTCACATTGTTTTTAAGGGTTCTGTGGAGTTGCAGTACTTATTATCTCTCTCTCTCTAACTGTTGGAAGACCTGAAAGATCAGGTTAAGACATATAATCATGGAGAAAGTAGGAAGCAACATCAATGTGATAGCATAATCTGTCAGTTTATTAAAATTCTGAGTGTTAACTCGGTGTAAGAACCCTATATTTCTCACTAGGACTAGTGAGAAATAGCTCATTGGAATGCTCTCTAAAACAAGGGAGGCAGGCAAGCGAGCAAAGTTATGTTTTCACACCTGCTGCACATGCTCAGGATCTAGGTACGTGTGAAATCTTCCCCAGCCTGTGGAAAACAATTTTTCTTCTGAAACCGATCACTGGTGCAAGAAAGTTTGAAGACCACTGCTCTAAAAGTTAGCTGGTTAAAGAAAGACAGGTGGAGCTAAGGCTTCTGAGAGAGAAGCATTGAAATGTCCAGCCTTTTCATCCTATGTCTTCATCATTGCCACTGTATACTGCTCCTTTTTCCAAAGTTCCTGTTAAGTCCTCGGAGTTACATCCGACCCGTTGACGTCACTGTGGCCGTCCTGCTCTAATTGGTTAAGACGCGAGCAGGCTCGTCGCGGGAAAAACTCAGTTCTCCTATTGGTTCCTTCCGACTGACAGACTGCTATTTAAGCAGTTGTCAGCCGGGCATCGTTCGTTCTGTTATGTACATGTTAGAAGTTGACTGGTTGTTAAATAAAGAGTTGTGTTATGCAAAGTCGAGCCTCCGCGCCCTGTTTGTTCTCTCGGACAAAACAGTTACACTCCAATATTCTTTAAAAAGAACAACTTCTCAATACACTGGCATTTAAAAATTAGAAAGCGACAAATTCTTCTTCAGAGAGTGTCCAGAAGATGCCTAAGACCAAGATTGTAGAACATGTTCAGTAGAGCCCATTGAATCATTTCATTGCATTGCTTACAAATAAAAAGTTGTTCATTATTTTCCTTTTCCTTTGAGTCTTACCAGCTTCTAATGGCAGAAAAAGAAACTGAAAAGCTGAAAATGAAAATACCTCAGTAGAAAGTAAAATTAGCTTTAAAAAGTACAGCATGCACCCTCAAATGTATTTGGTAGAATGCATTATGTATAACGTAACAGGTAAGCCAGGTGAGTACAGCATGCTCAGAACATGATTTTTGAATTGTTCATGATTTCCCAGTGACCCCTTTGAATTAAAGAACACAAAATAAATCACCTGCCAACTTTTCCATCATTTGGTTAATGATCGGTGAGAGAATGGTAAGGCATGCATGAATTCTCTTCCTCTGAAAAGGCTAACCTATTGTTTTCTTCCTGAATTACAATTAAAGCAAAACCCCAAGAATGAAGAAAACCTTGTTACTGGAGCCTGCCATTTCCTTATATTTTTTTGCCTATTCTTTGACCACTCCTCTGAAGCAGCAATATGTATACAAGAGGATCTGGGAAGAAACAACCAACTCTACCTTCATAGTTCAAGATAATATGTCTCATTGTGAACTGAATCAAAGCAACCCAACCTATGTGAAGCAAAAGGTAAGATCAGATTATGCACTGGGTGTGCCCTAGATAAAATTAAGCAGAATTAATGATGCATAATAGCAGATCATGTTGAATTTAACATGTTCAGAGAAAGGTTTCACCCTGGCAAAGCATCTCTTCACTTAGCTGCAATTACCGTATTTTTCAGACTATAAAACGCACCAGAGTATAAAACGCACCAAGATTTTGAAGAGGAAAACAAGAAAAAAAAAAATAGTTTTTGACTTCTGCGTATCTGGTTTTTGCCCTCCCTGGCACCCAGGAGCATTCTGCAGGCCTCCCAAGCCCTCTGTGTATCCCGTTTTTGCAAAAAAAATGGACCAGTTTTTTGCGAAAATGGGACACACGGGGCGGGGTTTCGGGAGGCCAAAAATGGCCATATTCAGTCTATAAGACGCACCGACATTTCCACCCTCTTTTAGGGGGGGGGGGAAGTGTGTCTTATACTCCGAAAAGTACGGTACTTAGAGGGGAAGCCCCCAGCAAATCTGAGGGCTGTAGAGTAGTCCAGAAACAAACAAACAAACAAAAAAACCCATAAGCACTATTTTCCTGGATGCAGTCAATATCACACACACATGCAATTCACTAAGGAAATGCCTTTATCAGCATTGCAAAATAAAATGCAGAAATTATTTTTGAGCTAAAAGTTTTGGAAAAATGCACAACCCTATCCGATTCAGACTCAAATGTGTCCTTTCTCATCTTTCAACTAGCCTCCATTCTGAATTCTCAAGATCATCTCGGGGTTTTCCATAAATTGGGGATAAATACTTTAGCACCGTTTTTCAGAGGCCTTCTGCCATACTGCTGCCAAATAAACTATAGAAATATGTCCAGGGAGTACCCTGGAGTCAAACTGACTCAAGAAATCTTTACAACACAGCTTCCAAATCCAGTATTTCAACAGGTGTCCACGTTTCAGCTCTTAGGATTTCTAACCATGCTGCCAGGAAGCAGTTGCTGTACCAGTCTATTAAATGGTGAAGGTTGATATGAAGATATATATAAACTTCATTGGATGTTGTCCCAAAGTTAGTAGTGCCTAAATCCCTCTGATTTCCATAACTATGTTTCAAACCACATTGATTTTCGTTTACACGCCATACTAAATTAAGCTAGCTCAATTTATATTAGCTGAGTTACTGGAGTTTGTTTATTTAATGCAGGGATCTCAAACTTGTAGCCCATGGGCCGGATGCGTCACACGCTGGCCACGCCCACCCCCATTTTAGTGAAGGGGGGGAAAAAGTCATGTCACGTGACATGATCCCGCGAGTTTGACACCCCTGGTCTAATGTGTCTTCCCACACACACAATCAGTGATGATAATATCCAGAGAAAGTATGGAGGCCATACTGAAATGATTAAATATAGGACTAGAAAATAATATGCTAAAAATAACAGTGATGGATAACTTTAAATCTTTGTTCTTGCTATTACGTTTTCATCCAATGAGCCACTGTGGTGCAGTGATTAGAATGCAGTACTGCAGGCTACTTTTGCTGACTGCCAGCTGCCTGCAATTTGGCAGTTCAAATCTCACCAGGCTCAAAGTTGACTCAGCCTTCCATCCTTCTGAGGTGGGTAAGATGAGGACCCAAATTGTTGGGGGCAATATGCTGACTCTGTAAACTGCTTAGAGAGGGCTGTAAAGCGGTATATAAATCTAAGTGCTATTGCTATTGCTATCTTCTTCCAAGTTCTCAGATCATCATTTTTGTGGCTTTGTTAATTTTTCTTATTTGGCAGATGCTTTTTAACTGTAGTTTGCATTGCTAGCACAACTGTAGGTCCAGGGCTGGATTTTGCATCCAGAAGGTCCAAACTACAATCCCTGACATCTCTGGATAAAGATCGGGAAAGACTACATTTAAAATTCTTGGAAATATCTTTTAGTCAGTTTAGGCTGTTTTGGGCTATAGCAATCCCTTGGTATAAAGTAATTTTTTGTATTTAATTTGAATTTGGAACAAAGAAACATATATTCCAATTACTTTGGCTGGTTTGTTCAAATTGCTTGAAGCATAGTGAACATTAAAAACCCTCACCTCATCCTCTTAAGGGAAGATGGAATATTTCAGGGATTTCACAGTATTTCAGCTGGATAAAGTTGATAATAGAATATAACATATTTGATTCAAGCCTATTTACATGTTAAGCAAATTGAATGCTAATCACTTGGACACTGGATAATGTCACAAATAGTATCTGTTACATTTCAAAGCGTGCTAATTCCATAGTTTGTTTATACTACATTCAAATTACTTACCGTATTTTTCAGAGTATAAGATGCTTCGGACTATAAGATGCACCTACCTTTTTTGGAGAGGAACACAAGAAAAAAAAAATCTGCCTCTGCTTCCCAGCAGTTTGCTTCCTTGCAGCAAACAGCAAACAGCCCGTTTCAGTTTCAGCTTCAGCACAGCCTGATTAGCACAAGAAAAAAAAATCTGCCTCTGCCTCCCTGCAGTTTGCTTCCTTGCAGCAAACAGCAAACAGCCCGTTTCAGTTTCAGCTTCAGCACAGCCTGATTTGCACAAGCAGTTGATCGTTGGTTGGATCAGCCTCCCGTGGATCAGCTGTTTCAGGGTGCAGGGATTGCCAGGCGCATGAAGGCGGCAATAGGCAATGGCAATCCCTGCTGATCCACGGGAGGCTGATCCAACCGACAGTCAGCTGCTTGTGCTAATCAGGCTGTGCTGAAGCTGAAACTGAAACGGGCTCTCTTTTTTTTGCTGCAAGGAGGCAAATTGCTGGGAGGTAGAGGCCGAAGTATGGGTGGGCGGGGCTACATTTGGTATATAAGGAACACCCAAATTTTCACCCTCTTTTTGGGAGCGGGGGGAAGTGTGTCTTATACTCCGAAAAATAAGGTACATATCCAGGATAGATACATTAGATAGCAATTTACTGTCAACTAATATTTCATGCACTGGATAAGTTGGAGTTCAGTATATAAAAGGTTTAGTCTAATAAATCCATTACACCATTACAAAGCTCTTTTTAATGTGTTTACTATTTAGCTATCATACCGGTAGCATGGCTTTAGAATATTCATAGTATCTTTGATTGCTGGTTTCTATACACAAAGCTTTGAAGTAAACCAGAATTACTATTTATAGATGAGACCAGAAGTCGAATTATAATCCATACATTGATTGATTTGTCTCTATTCTTGTTTTATTTTCTTCTTTCAGGAAGTCCAAGAAAAAGCCTCTCTCTTTGCTATGAAAACAGATTTATGTGGGGCAATTTTCAGCATTTTGGTGGCCTTTGTCCTGGTGGCAAATGGAGATCGATATGGACGCAAAATCTCATTAGTTCTTCCCCTGATGGGGAGTCTTATCAGCAGCATCTTCCTCTTTGTTATGTCAGATTTATCTTTGCCCCTCTACCTTTTCTTTGTTTTCTCCTTGGTTGGGGGGGCTGTTTGGAGACTTGGCTACTTTTCTTGGAGGAGCCTTTTCCTTTGTAGTTGATTGCTGTGAGACTCAGAAACAAAAGACCATCCGAATAGCTGTGGTTGACTTAATCTTTGGATTCACATCCGGATTGGGAGGATTGGTCTCAGGATACATTCTAAAAGAAATAGACTTTATGTGGACATTTGCCATGATTTCTCTATTTCACATGGTCAACATTTTCTATGTCATATTTTGCTTGGATGAAACAGTGAAAGTCTCTGCAATCCAGACACAATCTTGGCGGGAAGGTCTTAAAGACACTCTTTCTGGAGTATATATGCTCTTTAAATCCTCCTCCTGTAAGAAGCGAATTTTAATCATCTTGCTGCTTTGCACATTCATGACTTACCTTTTCACAATGTTTGGAGGGCTTAGTCTCTATGTGCTATACGAACTGAATGCTCCACTCTGTTGGGACGCCATTTACATCGGATACGGCTCAGCTGTGTCCACCTCAGTCTCTGTGACTGGATTCCTGGGGATTGTTTTCCTTTCTCGGTATCTGAGAGATAGCTACCTTGTTTTTATTGGAATTTTCTCTTATATGGGAGGAAGTATCATGACTGCCTTTGCCAACACTACATTGTTGATGATGTTGGGTAAGTTTCACTTGGTTAAGTTCAAAGATGATGGTAAAACATTTTGATAATGTAGATAGTGTTTTAAAATCTTGGCCACTTTTAAGATATGTGGATCTCAACTCCTAGATTTCTCCAAGTTGGGAAATTCTGTGATCTGATGTCAACATATCTCAGAGGTGCCCAGATTGAGAAATATTGATGTAAGTGATTAGAAAATTGGTGGTGCTTGTTATTTTCTACATTATTTATGGCACTGGTCCAAGACTCAGGTCTTTCTAGTAATCAGCTGCCCAGACTTTTAGTTGGAAATGGCAGGGGATTTAACCAGGACTTTCTGAACACAAGTTTCAACCTCTACATTCCAATTCTGTAATATGCAAGTGAATTTTAGAAATGTTGTGCTTCAAATTATAATTCCCATGCCTTTAGGACAGTGGTTCTCAACCTTTCCGGCTTTGTGGACCGGCGGGAGGAGGGGGGGAGGGAATGGTGCTGTGTGAATGATAGGTGCGCATAAGCGCATGCACCTGCCGCTTGTGCAAGTGGAGCTGCGCACTCACCCGTCCCTTGCATTGCCCAGTTCTGAATGGGCTGTGGGCCAATAGTGGATCGTTGCCCGGGGGTTGGGGGCCCACTTTAGGATCTGTAAGGCAACATAATAGCAGCGTAAAATATAAGCTACAATAAAACAACAGCAAGCAGCAAAACTACCAGAGGCAACAATTTATATAAATTATACCAAAAGACCCTCTTGAAATAGCAATAACTTAGCCACTGAAAGCTAGCAGTAAAAGTAAAATGTAGTTACTTGCTACATTTTTATTGGAAAATAGAGCTGAATCTTCCACTTCCTGTCCCCAGTTTGCAGAAGAGGCCCATAAGAGATACTTGGCTATGTTACATCTATTATTTTCTTGTCTTTTAGTCATTTTCTATAACTAGGGAGATTTCATTCTGTTAGTTCGTCATTTAAGGAATGTGATCACTTTCCATTTTGTCTACTATCCCCACGATGCTTTCAAATAAGATAACATTATAACTAATTTAATATATTTCATGACTTTTGTCCATTTTCTACCATGCCGTACCCCACCTAAACCATGACTGGTGCTATATGGAACTAAGGGAAACAACACCTGTCCGATGTTGCATTTAAAATCAGAATGTAATGAATTCCTTCTTGCAATTGCTATGCACGAATAGTACCTTGCAGCTTCGTATGAGCCATGGTGGCGCAGTGGTTAGAGTGCAGTACTGCAGGCTATTTCTGCTGATTGCTCTCTGTCTGCAATTTGGCAGTTCGAATCTCACCAGGCTCAAGGTTGACTCAGCCTTCCATCTTTCCGAGGTGGGTAAAATGAGGACCCAGATTGTTGGGGACTAGAGGCTGACTCTGTAAACCGCTTAGAAAGGGCTGTAAAGCTCTGAAGCGGTATATAAATCTAATGCTATTGCTATTGCTATCCACATACTACAGTTGAAAATGTGCACACAAAGGAATGTCCAATTTCTACTGAAAAAGATATACATTAAATATTTTGGCTACTATTTTTATTACTCATACAAAATTTCTAAGTTGACAAACATATTGCTTATGACACAGGTGGTCCTCAACTTACAGCCATTCAGTTAGTGACCGTTTAAAGTTACAATGGCACTGAAAAAAATGACTTATGACTGATTTTCGCACTTATAATAGTTTCAGCATTCCCGTAATCGTGTGATCAGAATTTGGGCGCTTGGCAACTGGCATGTATTTATGACAGTTGCTGTGTCCTGGGGTCATGTAATCACCATTTGTGATCTTCCCAGCTGGCTTCTGACAAGCAAAGTCAATGAGGGAAGCCAGATTCTCTTAACAACTGTGGTGAAAAGGTCATAAAGTGAGACACAACTCACTTAACAATTGTCTTGTTTAGCAACAAAAATTTGGGGCTTAATTGTGGTCGTAAATTGAGGAATAGCTGTAATGAAAATGTCCTTTTTTTTTAATTATTTGATTTATATGCCGCCCTTCTCCAGAGACTCAGGGCGGCTTACAATGCGTTAAGCAATAGCCTTCATACTTTTGTATATTTATACAAAGTCAGCTTATTGCCCCCACAAACTGGGTACTCAATTTACCTACCTTAGAAAGGATGGAAGGCTGAGTCAACCTTGGTGGAGGGCATCTTTTCCCTAATTTAAATCCATGAGGATTTCTGAAAGATGCTACCATGCTTGTTACCCAGATAATTATTTGCTGTTATAGTATTTGTCACAGTATAAATTGATTAGCTATTTGGGGTAATTATGTTAAAGAGTGTTGACTTTTGTGACATCTATTTTGCAGTGAGAATACCATCGATGCTCCTTTTCATACCCATTCCAGTTATTCGAGCCATGTTATCAAAAATAGTTCTTCCTAATGAACAAGGTGAGTTGGGGCTGCTAAAGAATTAATTGCAGGTGTCGAAGGAATTCAGTGAAGTTCCTTGGATCTGTCAGTTTGTATTTTCTCCCTGAAGCAACAGCTCTATATTGTATTGTTATCTTAATTAATTCTAGCACCAATTATTTTTTTTTAAATAATAAAAATAAAAACAATAATAAAATTGTAATTCTAGCACCAATAACACCATTTCCATTTGGTGAATCTAAGTTCCATTCTGCCATTGGATACCCAGATTCATGGCATTGAGTATCATCATCATTAATTTGGTGGCCACCTTTGAAATGTGTAGTGTAGTGTAGTGTAGTGTAGTGTAGTGTAGTGTAGTGTAGTGTAGTGTAGTGTAGTGTAGTGTAGTGTAGTTATATACACACACACACACACACACAAATGTCTCGATCTCTGTAATCCAGTTTTTCTTTTTCCTTTTTGGCAGGAGCTTTATTTGCTTGCATTGCCTGCTTAGAGGTTGTGACTGGGACCATTTCAATTACTGTCTTTAATACCATCTATGCAGTGACTGTAGCATGGTTTCCTGGCTTCAGTTTTCTCTTTTCAGCTGGCTTCTGCATAATTCCACTGAGCTTAATGAGGTAAGCAGGGACCATTCATTTTTTTAAGGTTGGAATCTGTTTTGTAATTTCCCAGAAATGTCATCTCCATACAAAAGGGATATTAGTTTTTATTTCCGATTCTCATCGTTCATATAGTCGTATTTTTCAATCGTAGAAAATGATAGAAAATGTATTATTTTATTTTGATTTGATTTTGTTTGTATTGTCATTTTATCCTTAATTATTTTAATGTGTTTTTTATGGGGTAAGCCACCCAGGGTCACTTTGAAAGGAGATGAGCTGCAAATAAATTAAATAAAAATGCTACTCTGTTGTTTTCTATGATACTATGATTCCATTTATTCTGTACCAATCTGACTGCCCACACTTCTCAGTCAGAAAAAGGTCTATGGGAGGAATTCCGTCATGATTTAATTGAAGCACACGAAGCTAGGGAGGAGAGATGGCTATTTCCTGAAGAATAGGACTGTCACATACCAGCTATGGACCACCTCTTAACTAAATGGAAGAACATAGAATAACAGAGTTGGAAGGGAGCTTAGAGGTCTTCTAGTCCAACCCCCTGCAACATTGCACTATTTTACTTAAGTCCTTTTTTAAAAAAACGAAATGTTAGAAACAGATTCTCTGATATCAGTTTGAATGAAAACTAACAATAAAACCATAGAAAATTTATCTGCATGATGTTGACCATACCACTATTTGTTTTTATAAATAGAGTACTAGAGAACCCATGACCCCTTGAATCGTCCTTTTAGAGATGTTTCCTTATGAAATTTCTCAGGGCCTACAACAGTGATAGAACTTCTAATGTACTCCCTTCACTGGAAAAATTTGGGATACAATTTAGAGAAGCCTGACTAGGTGGCTCAGTGGCTAAGACACTGAGCTTGTCGATCAGAAAGGTTGGCAGTTCGGCGGTTCAAATCCCTAGTACAAGTCTCCTGCATGAGCAGGGGGTTGGACTAGATGACCTCCAAAGGTCCCTTCCAACTCTGTTACTGTTATTGTATATACCTTCCTTGAAAACAGCCCATGTTGAACTGTGTAGCATGAACATCCATCCAAGAAATGTTTTATGACATTTTGTATTATATCATAAACTGTTTCATGATCAATTTTATGTGATAAAATGTTTTATAAAATTTGCCAAACATCAATCCCACATGATGGAACTAGTGAGTCCGGGATTTTGGACACATTCTGTAGGTTTGAAGTATCTTGAGGTATTTGAGGTATCTTGAGGTACCACATTTGAGGTATCTTGGTTCAAAAATTGTTGCCCTATGATGCCTTATTTCTACCAGTTGAATGTTGTGGGAATGAGAGTTTTAGAAGTATACACTGTAAATGTAGCATCTATTTAAATTGCAAATATCCACCTTTAAATTGGTTAGGATTTATTACATTTATTTGCCGCCCATCTCACTATAGTAGTAGGGCTGTAGTAGGTAGTTTGCAACAAGAAGAAATAAAAAGAATGTAAACAGAACTAAAATAATAGAATAATATTATTATGAGAATATTTCTAATTGATTCTGAAAATCTGGAGTGTGGAGGTCTTTGAATCTGATTTTCAATGGGCCTGGAGCACAGTGGAGCAGGAGAATTAAGACAAACATCTATTCATATAGTAATAGAGTTAGAGTTTGATAAATTGAAATTATCATTTGGTTGTTTAGTATTTTATCTGGACAAAATAGTCTTGAAAATGACTTGTTTAAAGAAGGTGGGGAAGGAGATAACTTTACAGGCATATTACTTTAGGTTTTTTTAAATTATATATTTATTTTACACTTTGAAACTACCCAATAACTAAAGGTCTTGGGGCAGTTTATGATAAAACATGCTAAAAATACAATTTAAGTTAAAATATACACAACAAATATAAAATAACTATAAGCTAAAATATTCTAAATAACCACTGAAATTTGCTGTTGTCTATTTGGGTTTTTCCCCCCTGCAATATTCAATTGTCCTGGTGAAAGCATATTAAAGTGTCTGAAACGCTCTTAACAATTTAGAGCCACCTTTAGTCTTAATCTAAAAATGGCACAATGGACATTTTCTTCCTAAATTAACTTCAAAGAAAAGAAAGATTGTGTCTCTTTCGTGATAAAGAGAATTCTAGGCCTTTTGCATTACAATTTATGACAGTTTTCTGGCTTATGTTTCTTTTCAGTTGAATTAATATGTCTTATCTCCTTTCTCCCCCCCCCCCCCCCCCCCAGTTGGTTTATGTATGTTACTCGGCACGAAGAGGACTACGCGCAACTCCCAACTGAAGAGGGCTGTCCTGGCCAGAATAACAACAGCTGAACAACCGCTGAACAGAGAATACACCTATCAGCTACTGCTCTCACGTTCTATAATGGCTTGACCTGTGCATGGGGTTGCCAGAGTTTCAGTGCTTTCAATGGCTCCATTTTGAGAATTCCACAATAATTGATTGGCTCAAGTTTGCTTGCTGCCCTGTTGCACATTGCCCTTTGCCCTTTGATCCAAACTAGGTAAAGCCATAGTCTACTAAAAAAATGTATTTGCTTTGTCAGATCACAGATTATAAAATTATTATGATAAATAAGCAAGTTATGCTTAAAATATTGATTGGATTATATGTGTTTTCTAATCCATCCACTAATCTGTATCCTGAATTCAAAATTCTCAAGATTTATTTATTTAGGTGAGTAAGGTTAATCCTTCATGATCACCCTATGAAGTAAGTATCTCTTCTTTTTTTTGTCTCTGTCGGAATTCTTTAACCTCTATTATATTCATTGGCTCCTCTTTTAACAAATGCATAGGTTTAGACAGAAAGTGTAAAGTAGTTAGTAAGAGATTGGGCTGGAACTGGGGAGGACTACCCTGTTTCCCCTAAAATAAGACATCCCTGATAATAAGCTCAATCGGGCTTTTGAGCCCATGCACTAAAATAAGCCCGCCTCCCAAAAAATAAGCCCTCCCTGAAAATATTTAAACACATGCACAGCTGGTCCCTGCCATTTCCTCTGGTTAGGGTTAGGGAGACAGAGCTGGAAATCAGGTAAGACAGCAAGAGGAGCCCTGTCTTGCTCCACACGCCCCAAAATAATAAGACATCCCTGAAAATAAGGCCAAGCACTTATTTCAGGGTTCAAAAAAATATAAGACAGGGTCTTATTTTCGGGGAAACAACGGTAGATAAAGTCTGCTCTCAGCCATAGTGCAGTCGGATCCAGACTTAATCAGACTTAACTTCACTGGTTATTGTGGAGAAAACAAGGAAGGCCACAGTGTATATTGACTTATAGGCTAAGAACGGAATGTAATAACGGTAAAGTTCAGTGATTCGTATTCCTTATAGGAATTGAAAAGCAAAGAGAAGGAGTGGTGAGCCACCCTGTAAATCATAACCCTCCATTCTCCTAACTTACTTAGTTTTGTAAAGAGGGTATTATGTAGAACACGGGTGTCAAACTTGCGCCGTCACGTGACGTTTCATGACGTTTCTCCCTTTCGTGGAATTGGGGTGGATGTGGCCTGTGCGTGATGCATCTGGACCACGGGCCACCAGTTTGACACCTGTGATGTAGAAGATACAGCAAAAATCATACATTTGCACTCTAGGATGGAAAAAAGGGTCAACCAATAGGCAAACATAGTTTTTTAGTTGAGTCCAAAAATCTGTAAACTAGAATTTCCTTCAGAAAATAGAAAGCATATCTTTATTGAGAAAAAAACAGAGTTTTCTGGTGGAAGGAAGGAAGGAAGGAAGGAAGGAAGGAAGGAAGGAAGGAAGGAAGGAAGGAAGGAAGGAAGGAAAATGAATGAATGAATGAATGAATGAATGAATGAATGAATGACCAACAGGCATGTCCTGATCCAACAGAACTGTATAAATTTCTCTTACGTAATTGAGAAATCCTTGCTTGGATACTTGCCTCTACCTCAAATTTTTCTTAGCAATTATAATGAGCATAAAATCATAGCAATACTGTAAAGACTTGGAATCCAAATGGGTACCATTAGTAATTTGTATCCCCTGTACAGGTGTATTTTGAAGGGATATGGGAATGAGGGGAAGAGTAAACTCAACTGAAAACCTCTCTTCTTATTGCACATGGTCTCTGAAAGCTTTTGCCTCTTGATTTTATGAAACCAAACAGATTTTTCTCAACAAGAGAAGAATCATGCCTAAGGCACCAGGCTAGAAACCAGGAGATTGTAAATTCTAGTCCCATATTAGGCATGAAAGCCAACTGGGTGACTCTGGGCCAGTCACTCACTCTCAGCCCAGCCCAGCCCACCTCACAGGGTTGTTGCTTTGGAGAAAATAGAGGAGTATTATTAGGTATGTTCGCCTTGTGCTATTTATAAAAATAATAAGAGATATATAAATGTTAGAATATTAACAGAAAAATATGTTGCCACTACCTGATGTTTGCCACCTTCTGTTAAATCCTTAAATGTGCTCACTGCACTTCTGGCCTAATGTATTAAAATGTACAACTTTAGACATGCTAGTCACATGATCTATCAAATCACATGTGCCAAAAAGAGCCTGCAGACAAAGGCACTGTAATTTAACACCAGCTGTCTGCAATTACTGTAAATTTGAATCTCATCAGGCTCAAGGTTGACTCAGCCTTCCATCCTTTCTAAGGTAGGTAAATTGAGGACCCAGTTTGTGGGGGCAATAAGCTGACTTTGTATAAAATATACAAAAGTATGAAGGCTATTGCTTAACGCACTGTAAGCTGCCCTGAGTGTCCGGAGAAGGGCGGCATATAAATCAAATTTTTTTAAAAAGGCAATTAATCTGCAATATTTCCTCTGTGTTTTCTTTTGAAGTGCACTATGTAATTTGACATAAGAAACAGACTTTTAATGGTATTTTGATTTTGCTTGGGAACTGGCAAGTGGTAGAGCCATGCATCAGTGATTTTAGGAGAATTTTACTATGAATAATGGAAGTGACATACACAGGGTCCGCAGTGCTTGTACTGCAATATATAACTGCCTGCAGAGCAGGTTATTTATTATGCCTTCAGGCTGCCATTGAAGACAATATTTAAACTGAGGTGAAATGAGAAGTGGGTAGCCTAAATGCATCAGCAGCGAAGTGCACTTGATAATGTATTGGCTCCATTGAACACTGTGGTTTCTGGGTAATTCCATATAGGGTTGTACCTTACAATCTTTAGTGGGTTGTGGTTTTTTGTATTTTTGTAAGTATATACCATTTTATTGTTGTTAATAAAGACTAAAAGCTATGATTAGAGAAGCAGTCTTGTGTTCTGTTGCCCACTGTTGCAATTATGTATATTTTGTAATCTTTCTCATGTGTTTTTAATATAATTCTTATATAAATATATTTTCCATTTGGCTCAGAAACCTTTTGCATTTTTATGCTTCTGCGATTAAACCAAAGATATGCATCTAATTGGTCTACAGCTATTGTTTTAAATTGCCATGTAACTATACAATTATGCTTCTCTTCCAAGATGTTGCAAGCGCATAGGTCATTGTACTTGCTCAATGCTACTGTGAGACGTGAATCTATTTCTATACCTATGTGTGAGTAATCTAATCTAAAAAGGCTAACTCATCCCAACGCCATAGAGCATTCAAGGCAATGAAATAAAAGCAATTCCTAGCACTTTGGTCTGCATTTCAAGGAATCCCATTCAGTGCCTATAGGAAAAGTTCTGCGGATGGCTTAGTGGATTTCCTGTAACTCCATGTGCGTATTGTTTTGTTTTCACATTATTTTGTAGTGTTCTGCTGCCGCATCTTGAAAGTTTCTCACATGAGCAGCACTGAGATTTAAACTGGAACCATCTTCAGATGGATTTTATACATGGAACCAAATGTGAGGAAAACGTTTTTGCTTCCTGCCACTTGCTCAGACTGTTGAGGCTCTTTTATTCCACATGCAGAACTAGACGCTGGGAGCAATCCATTCTGGCAAATTAAATTCAGCTGTTTTTTGGTTTCTAGTAGATTCCTGAAGCTACCACTGAATGTTCAATGTGTTTCTGTTGGTAATTGTGTTTCACGTAGCCGTTGATGACTTTAGGGAATAGGCAACAGATTGTGCACATTTCCCCATCCTTTCCCCAGTCCTTTCCTAATTTACAAGTAAGTAGCCCCAAAATGCTTGTTAACCTGCTTGTCAGTGTATGCCAGGAATGGAGAAACCCAAGCTGAAATCCAGCCTTAGTTATATTAGAAGACAAAAAGGAAACTACATACCCTGCTTTCTTCTAAAAGCAAGAGTGCCTGCCAAGGAAATGAGGCTCAATAGAAAGGTATTATTTCAGGTAGACAAAAGAATGTATTAGAGGCTAGTACCTGCTCTTCAGGATCTGGCCTTCTAAAGAGCAGTCAGGGTGATCTCTAGGACTGACCAGTTTGATCGCCTTGCAGTCCAAGGGACTTGCAGGAGTCTTCTCCAGCACCATTGTTCAAAGGACTCAATTCTTTGGCGCTCAGCTTTTCTTATGGTCCAACTTTCACAGCTATACATTGCAACTGGGAAAACCATAGCCTTGACTATATGCACTTTTGTTGGCAGGTTGATGTCTCTGCTTTTTAGAATGCTATCTAAATTTGCCATAGCTTTCCTTCCCACGAGCAAGCATCTTTTAATTTCTTGGCTGCAGTCCCCAGCCAGGGGGACTGATCTTGGAGCCCAGGAAAATAAAACCTGTCACTACCTCTATTTCTTCACCATCTATTTGCCAGGAATTGAGAGGGCCAGATGCCATGATCTTAGTTTTCTTAATATTGAGTTTCAAGTCAACTTTTGCACTCTCCTTCAACCGCATCAGGAGGCTCTTTAGTTCCTCATCGCTTTCTGCCATTAGAGTGATATCATCTGCATATCTGAGGTTGTTGATATTTCTCCCAGCAATCTTAATTCTAACTTTTGATTCATCTAGCCCCGCCTTTCTCATGATGTGCTCTGCATATAAGATGAAACTCAAATACTTTGGCCACCTAATGAGAAAGAAGGGCTCACTAGAGAAGAACCTAATGCTGGGAAAGATTGAGGGCAAAAGAAGAAGGGGACAACAGAGAATGAGGTGGCTGGATGGAGTCACTGAAGCAGTAGGCGTGATCTTAAATGAACTCCAGAGGATGGTAAAGGACAGAAGGGCCTGGAGGAGTATTGTCCATGGGGTCACGATGGGTCAGACACAACTTCACAATTAACAACAACAACCTGCTCTTATGATTGGTTATCACCAGATTCAGCTTCTGTCTTAAAATGGCATTAGTGACAAACAGGCTAGCATTACATGCAACAGTCTCCTAACAAAAACAAGTCCTGCTTGGGGTGAACAATTTTGAAGATGCTATTGAACACTCAGAAAAAGTCCCAATGCTTATTGAAAATGTTTATTGTTTAAAAGACATCAACCATCAGGAGCAAAGAAAAATTAACAGCAAATCTCTTGCTTTAAAATTGCAAAAAGTTCTTCCGCAAAGATTTTCTAATCCAAGCAGTTTCATATTTTCCTGTTTCTGATTATATTTAGATGTGTGGCCTTCTCTAACTATAAATATGAGCCACTATAATGTTGGATATAGTCATATCTCCTTTTTTAAAAATCCAATTCATAAGACGTTTGGCAGTAAACAGAACAGGATGTTTGTAACATTTATTGTGCTTTTTTCACTGAGTTGCTGAGAAACTGCGTATCAAAACAAGTATTGTTTTACTTTCATTTAATATAGTTTATTTCAATCCTCACAGACACAGGTAGGAATGTTCTGATGAACAGAAAAAGCTGTAATGTGTAAGTATTATAATAAACCAAGTTTATGTTCAACCATCATATGAGGCTCTGCCATTAGTTCACTTTGTGCAGGATCTGGAAAAGAGATTTAGTAAAATGTTAATTTAAGACAATTGAAGGCATGTTTGGCAGAAAACGGGTCACTTATGCATTACACTTTTCTTCATTTAATCTATATTGAGCAAATTTAATTTTATTCAGGCCTGAATAAAATCTAGTATTTCTTTGTTATATAGCAAATAATTTCTTACAGTGTTTACATCCCACACAAATATTTCCTCTCTTCCCTGCAGACTCTACAAAATGTCTAAATGGATGGTTTCACATATGAAAAGGAATTCTGATAGATTGGACTGAAGACCTATTCTGATCCAGCATTTCCTGATAGTAAACTACTACAACATAGTAAACAACTACAATATAGTAAACTCAACTTAGAACAGTTCATTTAGTGACCATTCAAAGTTACAACAGCACTGAAAAAAGTGACATAACTGTTCTACAGTTACGAACTTTGCAGCATCCCCATGATCATGTGATCAAAACTCATGTTTGGCCACTGGTTCATATTTATGACTGTTGCTGTGTCCCAGGATCACATGATCACCTTTTGCAACCTTTTGACAAGCAAAATCAATGGGGAAGCCAGATTCACTTAACAACCAGGCTACTAACTTATCAACTGCAGTGATTCACTTAACAACTGTGGCAAGAAAGGTCGTAAAATGGGGCAAAATTCACTTAACAAATGTCTCACTGAACAACAGAAACGTTGGGCTCAATTGTGATCATAAGTTGAGGACTATCTGTAGATGCCTATTAAAATGTTTAAGAAGCCCAAGGGCAGGGGACAATAAGTATATCCTTAGGTTGTTTCTATTACTAGCCCTCAGCAATGTACAGCCATGCATGTAACTATGCCAACATGGGAATATGACCAAGTTCAGTCTTGTCTCCCTAGAACTTAAAACTTGTCCAAACTTCAGAAAGATCCTTACCGCCAAAAATATCTTCAAAACCAATGGAGTCATCATTGCCTTTTAAAATATCCAGTGCCAGATTAGAGCTGTGGAGGAAAGGCAGGCGCTGGATCTACAAAAGATTTTACAAGTTAGTCATCCATATTTACTAATGAGATATATTAAAGTAACAAGTGAAACAGTATCAAGTTGCTCACTCAGGCTGTACTTTTTGTATTCCACCTATTTAATGTTTGAAGCAGGATGTAAATGTAGCATGAAATATACTGAAAAAATACATTCTAAAAATATGAACTTTACCATTTTGCCACCGTACAGGAATACTGCAGTTAAACAGTATCTCCCCTCTTCTTCTGAGATGTCAGCAAGAAGAAATAATTGTTCTTCAAAATAATATTTCTGTCCTGGCCTCACATTACTTTTTGTCTGTGATTCTTCCATTTGAAAAATAAATTACTAAAGGGGCTGGAGGGAAGACACACAACTTTTCAGGCAATAGAGGTATCAGTGTTAATTAACACTATTTTACATTATACTTAATATCATAAAATGGCAAATTCTATGAAGGGGTAATTCCCCTAGGCAACATGTAATGCCTAGTAGGGTTCTCTAAAAAATTTGAAAAAATGGCTCTGCAAGGGGTAAGCAAAGCTTCCTTTAGAAGCCTCACACAATTCTGTGTGTACTTATCAAAAAGTAAATTTCAGTGCAGATACTGAGATTTATTCCAAATAAATCCAGAGCACTAATTTATATTCAGTTAATAATCCTGACAAAACACATATGTAGCTACCCATTCCCTTTTGGATAAAGCAAAGTTAGGCAAAACTCAGAGAAGGACTAAGAAATAATAAATTAAAAGAATATAGAAATGAGATATGAAGTTCAACTAAATCTAATTTATACTATGGATGCTCAAGTATACAGTCCCACAATTATAAATCATCATCTTGGGCCATGCCAAACTTATAGGTGCTCAACTTACATAACAGAGCCATATTTTCCATTATAAATCATGACAGCCAGGATGGCATCTACATTACTGGACCTGATTTGATTTCTTTTTTTGTGGTGGTTGTTACCACCACAATTATTAAGGTAATTTATGTATTCCAATGGGTGTTTTGCTAGAAACCAATCACAAAAATAGCAAAAACCATTGTAAATAGCAATAGCACTTAGACTTATATACCGCTTTACAGTAGTATTACAGCCCCCTCTAAGCGGTTTACAGAGTTAGCATATTGCCCCCAACAATCTGGGTCCTCATTTTATCGACGTTGGAAGGATGGAAGGCTGAGTCAACCTTGAGTCAGTGAGAATCAAACTGCCAAACTGCTGGCAGCTGACAGTCAGCAGAAGTAGCCTGCAGTACTGCATTCTAACCACTGGGCCACCATAGCTCTTCAAATTGCAGTCATGTGACTGGAACACTGCAATCAGTCACAAAATGAGCTAGTTGCCAAGCACTCTAACTGCAGGCATGTGGCTGTGGGGAACTGTAGCCATCAGAACTTGGTCATAATTTTTTGGGAAGAGTGGGGCTGCCATAACTTTGAATGGTCACTAAGTGACCAAACTTAAGTCAAGGACCATCTGTACTATGGAAGCCCTAAACAAGTACCCTGAGGTTCTGGATAGAGCAAAACAAGTTCATATACAATCCTACCAAAATTAACTTTTTTGCCCAATTAACATTTGAACATTTTTGAACATGAACATTTTTGCCCATTATTTGGGGAATCCAAAAATACCAGTTTGCAAGTTACTCTGGTTAAGTATAAGTCGCCCTGTTAATAGCTAACTTAAATAAATAAAGTTTTTTGCTTTATGCCTTTCTCCCGTTTTAATTTGGTGTCATGCTATTAATTGTTCAACATTTTTTCAAACTGGGATAGATAATAATTAGTAGCAATTTTAATTCTGTAAATTTTAATTTGTGTTTTAAATTTTTATAAAAAAAACTATAATCTGGAGAATTATTTTGTTGAAAATAAGCATACCTGTTTCACTGCTTTGAATTCCATTTGCAACTTTAATGGCGCATGTAGTCCTTGAATATTTCTCAGAGTCGAAAAATTCATTTTATCTTGAGTTAAGGAAAACTACCAAAAGAAATGGTAAAAACATTATTTTACATTCTAGGCAGTCAGATGTGAATTAACTTAGTAAAAACTATGCACATAGAGACTGCTAATATTCACTTTTTTCTCACTGTACAGAAAAAGAAAATCTCCTGTCCAGAATAAGAAAGTTCAATAGGCATGTTGTGGCCTATTGGCCGCCGGCCCCTCCAGCAGCTGAATCAGAGGAGAAGGAGGCATGGGAGTCAGGATCAGCATCAGGGCAACTTGGGAGCTCTGAGGGGGAAGCAGGAATAGAGCTTCAGAGAGGGAGAGGGAGAGGTGGAGCTTGAGCCGTCCGTCAGCCCTCAGATGGAGTGTCAACAGGCCCCTGGAGGTGGTTGATGAAGAAGAAGAGGAACAGCTGGGTCCAGTGCCTGACTCATGGCTGCACAGAAGGCAGAGAAGGGGAGAGCAGTGGAAAGCCATGGGCCGATCCTGGGGAAGGAAGAGCCATGGCTGCTAACAAGGCCCTACCCTAGCTCTGGGGATAAAAGGCAAGAGGCGGAGATGAATAGGTGTGGCAGACAACTATTCATCTTCCGGCTGGATGGACTTTTTAGGCTGTGAGATAAACTTTTTGCTGGGGCTGCTGGCATTCCTAACAAAGGAATCTTTTGAGTTCACATCAAAGGGTTTGTCGTGTTTGGGGAGCTAGGTCAGAACAAAACATTCCTTTCCATTAACATACAGCTTTGCTGTTTTACACCAACTGAATTCATGTGAACCGCATGTAATGAACAGATGAATGATCCAAATCCTACACAAATCACCCACCACCAATATATTTGGCATTGCCCTCTTAACTTTGACTATTTTGAGAAGGGAAAAGAGATGACTTTGCCCAAGTTTTATAAGAATCTGGGCAATTTATCTTACTAGTCTATTTCATCAAATTTGTACAAATTGGAGTATATTATATAATTATAGATAAATTTCTATCACATAAAGCTTCAGACTTACCGTATTTTTCGGAGTATAAGACACACTTTTTTCACCCCTAAAAGAGGGTGAAAATTTGGGTGCGTCATATACACCGAATGTAGCCCCGCCTACCCGCCGGCCCCCACCCTTCGGCCTCAGCACGTCCTCTCAGAGAGCCTCTCAAACAGCCTCCAAAAGAGGTCACCTTTGCAGCCTCCAAAAGCTCTGTTTGCAAAAGAGCTCCTCTTTGCAAAGGCAGCCTCTCAAATGGAGCTTTCGGATGCTGCTGCCTTGTCGGACCGGTTCCGTGCTTCCCCAGCTGTACTCACTAGAACGCCCTGCAATGATCAGCTGCATTTTTGAAGCTGCATATCTGCCCCAATGAGGCACGTGCTCACAATCAGCGAACCTGTTGCTAAAGTTCACCCCGGGAACAGCTGACTGGGGATATTCCTGGAGTCTGATTCATCCACCAATCAGCTGCTCGAATCAGGCTAATGTGCTGAAGCTGACCAGGCTGTTTGCTAAGGACGCTAGCCAGATGAATACCGATGGATGTTGGTAGGCAGAGGCGGAACTTTTTCCCCCCTTATTTTCCTCCCCCAAAACTAAGGTGTGTCTTATACTCTGGAGTGTTTTATTATCCATTTAGTCTTCTCTAAGGTGATATGATTGACAACAGGAATTTTATGTTCCAATGGAATTTTCAACTTCACTCATAAAGAACCCTACCAAGGTGTTCTTGTACTCTGCTACCATTTTTGCAGCTTGTACTAATTATTCAAAAGTATCTATTCTGTAAATTATTGGTTGTTTAGAACGTCTCAGCTTTAGTTCAGGCACCCGAGAAATACATTTTGCTATGGACAGGTTTTTCATATCTATAACTACATCTATACCTATCTATAATATTCCCTTCTACTTACGTTCTTCTCGGAAAGTTCCAAAGGATGAACAGGAAAAAGTTCACTCTTCACATGTGGAAAGCTACAAACACAAGTAAACAAAGATACCACATAAAATCTTATGTCAAAGTCTTGTGAATGAAGGCAAATATACATGTCAGTCTTGGTTTCCTTCACCAACTTTAGAAGCCATTCCAAATACAGACTTTGAATTCTAAAAGCCTGAAAATCTGACAGAAACAACAATTATTTTAATAATTTTTTTTTCATTTTTACCACTGTAATGTTCACTATATAGTATATCTCCCTTAGCACATTTATATACTACTGAAAACATTTTAATTGTATTCCAGGAATTTACCAGTGGCCTTGAATTGTATCAACTGTGAGATAAATAGTTCTTGTATACAGGTAATCCTTGATTTAAAACCATTTGTTTAGCAAAAAGAAGTGACTTATGAGGTGTTCTCACACTTACAACCATCGCAGCATCTCCATGGTCACATGAGCAAAATATGGGTGCTTGGCAACTGGCAGGTATTTATGATGGTTGCAATGTCCCAGGGTCATTTGATTGCCATTTACAACTGTTCTTTGCCAGCTTCCAACAAAGTCAATAGAGGAGGCTGGATTTGCTTAACAATCATATGATTCATTTAACAACTTCACTGATTTCCTTTAACTGTGGCAAAAAAAGGTTGTAAAATCGGGCACAACTTGCTTAACAACCATTTAACAACAATGCTTAGCAACAGAAATTCTGGTCCCAATTCTACTTATACGTCAAGCACCACTTGGCTTTTTTTTTTTTTAATTTGATTTATATGCCGCCCTTCTCCGGAGACTCAGGGTGGCTTACAATGCGCTAAGCAATAGCCTTCATACTTTTGTATACTTTATACAAAGTCAGCTTATTGCCCCCACAACTGGGTCCTCAATTTACCTACCTTAGAAAGGAGGGTAGGCTGAGTCAACCTTAGCCTGGCGAGATTCGAACCTGCAGTAATTGCAGGCAGCTGGTCTTAATAACAGGGTGCTTTAGACCACTGTACTACCAAGGCTCAGACATCAAGCTGATGGGAATTTTTTCCCTTAACCAACTAGTTTGGTGTAGTGGTTAAGGCATCAGGTTAGAAACCAGGAGACAATAGGTTCTTGTCCCATCTTAAGCACAAAGACATCTGGGTGACTTTGAGCTACTCACTTTCTCTCAGCCCTAGGAAGCTGGCAAAGGCAAGCCAGTTCTGAAAACCTTGCCAAGAAAACTATACGGACACGACTGAAGGTATTTTTTTTTCCCCATGACTGATAACATTTAAGATTTCAGCCTTATTTTGCTTACTCTTAACTGACCCTCTCTATCAGTTATCAGGATATTCTGTTAGCACTATGGTGTATCTATCGTGAGAGAAAAATGAGACGAGTAGATAATATTCGTGAAAACTAGGCTGACCACTCCAGAGTTCTGTGTGACATGCAGTTGCAGTACTATATGAACCCAGCCAATGTTATTTTATAAAATATATCTTAGCATGGTGTGTGACTCCAAATATTCAGTAGCCTAGTCTTATTTTACTTATTTTACCATTAAATTGGTATCAACCCTTTGCAGCTACATATTTTCGACAATGATTTGGTTACTCATAGATAAAAGAATTCCAAAGAGACAGTGCTACAGAACTAGTAAGACAAAATGAGATTTATATTTGTAGAGTCATACAAATCTTTTTGTTACCAGTCTGGTAACCAAAGGGGTCAGCTTCAAAATCTTCATTCACAGGAGAAGTCTCGCTCATTTCCAGCATGTAGAACTACACACACTTGCACAGACCCCTTATTCCAGACATCAAGCTGATGGGAAATGGCAACTACCTACTACTAATAAAAAGAACTTTTCACCTGATTCAAGAAAATGAATTGGTTCCATTACCTAAAGTTGGAAGCATTCTGGGGAATGTCTTAGGGCTATAATTCTGTAGAAATAATCTATATATTAAGCATTTATTTATTAGAACTGGATAACTGGATTTAAATTCTAAAAGTTATTAAATATTTTTACTGTAAGAATAAGGTAAAGTGATATTTAGAAAAGGGAAATATCCAGCCCACAAGTGACAAATGGACTCCATTCCTTTGAAAGTTAAAGGTGGTTTGCTAACTTGATCTTGAACATGTCTATTAAGGAGTTGAAGTTATAGTTATACTAAATGACTGAAGATCTGGCATATCCAAATAGATTTAAATTTCAGTTTATTACAAGCAAAGATCAGCCCCCAAATAAGATGCTAGTCTAGAAATTGACTAGAACTTGGAAATAAACTATTTTCCACACTATTTTTCACAAAAGTACACAAAGGTCAGGCAGATTTGATCATTATGATTTGATCCGATTACACAGGAAAGTCACCCTAATATTTCTATAAACCTCTGGTACTTACCCTCTGTGTATCACATCATGACTTTCAAATGTTCCACTAGCTGAAAAATCAGGCACTGAAATGCAGTCCTTCAGCTGAGATCCAAGCCCTCTGGTATTCTTAAACAGAAGAAAGCTATTATTGTAGACAGGCAACATTGTTCATTTAAATTCTGTGCAACTGAGACTTCAAACTTTACAATAATTGCTTGTTAAATACAGGTAGTCCTTGACTTGCAACCATTCATTTAGCGACCATTCAATATTACAATGGCACTGAAGAAAGTGATATGACCATTTTTCACACTTACCACCTTTGCAGCATCCCCTAGGGTCATGTGATCAAAATTTGGATGCTTGGAAACTGGTTCATATTTATGACTGTTGCATTATCCCGGGTCATGAGATCACCTTTTGCAAACTTCCGACAGGCAAATTCAACGAGAAAGCCAATTTCACTTAACAACCATATTACTAACTTAACTGCAGTGATTTCCTTAACAACTGTGGCAAGAAAGATCATAAAATGGGGCAAAATTCTTAACTGTGTCACTTAGTACCAGAAATTTTGGGGCCAACTGTGGTCACAAGTGGAGGACTACTTATAGATGACAGCATTCAGAGTTAGGGTTAATGCAAAACATTTTTAAATCATTTTTTTCCTGTTTACTATGCTTTTAACACAGAAGCATATTATCTTGTAGTAAATCTGGGCTGTATCACTAATGCTCTAACAGTTTTGATCTATTCTGTCCTGTCAAAGTAGCAAATGAAGTTAAAGCTTACTTTATAAATTGTTTGGACTTAATAGTTTATATTAGATGCTTTGATAATTAATTTACACCCAGTGCAACTCATCACATAACTAGCTGTTCTCTGACTTGCTAAATCAATTACTTTGGTATGAAGCCTGTTCTTAAACAGTTCTTGAGACTACAATTTCTATAACAATTAATATGTGACAAGGCTTATTGGAATTACTAAAATCTTTTTATAAAACAATACAGAAACATTTTTATATTTTTATCCATATATATACTTGGTCAACTCAACACAGCAAACATAGTACTCCATACAACAATACAATTTAAACCTTTGTTCCTGCAATCTGAGTAAACATACTTCTATCAAACTGTAAAAATCAAAGAAAGTTGACCAAGGGACTTGCCAAATGGCAACAATTCTTTCTACGTTTAAAGTATCTCTAAACATTCTCACTTCTAGGAAGATGAAAGGAGTACAGAAACCATAAATTTGGGTTAGTTACTAAAATGTTTTAGCGAGAAAAATTATATTTGTACTTCTAGCAGCCAAGTACTATATCTATCTGATATAGTAAACAACGGAGAGGGAGGAGGGAAAGAGAAAGAAAGAGAGGGGGAGTTGAAAAATCAGGGATATGGAAAATTGTTTATTTACAACAAAAATCCATTATAAAACAAGCAAAGTATATAAAGAGGGAAAACACTTACCATAAATTGTAGAAATAAGGTCTGTGATCAAGCTAAAGAACAAGACTCCCCAATGCTTTACCTATTTAGTGACAGCCCCCCCCCCACTAAAATATATTAAATATTCCCAAAAGGTTGTACATAATTCTAAGTAGTTGTTCACTATAAACAATACAATGAAATAAAATTAAGACCATATGACAAGCAGTCATGGAATATAGAACAGACTAATTTATGAACTGAGACACAAGCTGATGCTATTACTATGAAGCCAAGATTCCCACAAATATTAGCAACACTTGTTTCCTTTCCCACCATCAGCTTCTCTTGTTTATTTTAACTGCACATTTGTGTCTCTTTCAACCAGTCTGCATGGGTTATTGCACCACATAATCCTGACATGAATCTCCAGGCATTTCCTTTGCCCAAACACACACCTCTATTTTACAAATATTTAGAGTGTATAAATTTAAAATGAGCGGACTTATTAAAGCACAAGGCCCGAAACTGGATAGATTAAGTAAATAAGAGGCTGAACTGCAGGAAATCCTTCCAACAATGACACTGAAACTAATGTGCTATTGCTTCCCTGTGGAAGTGAAATATTTGCAAAGTAAATCCTGCAAAAATCTTGCCAGCAGTCAGCGATCCAGCAAAAGTAACCAAGAAGGGTCTGGTCCCAGGGCAAAGTGAATGGTTGCCATTGTTCAAAAGCTGCATTTCCATTAACACTAAGAGTGATGCTACCATATTTAATAAGTAAAATGTCTTTTTATACATGGCTGCTTAGAAATCAATCATCTCCACAATTTCTAGCCATTGCTAGACTTTTTTTTTTAAATCAAGTATTCATTTCATTTTTATGTTTAGTTGTCCATTCCATGTGATGATTGTACCAGTATTTATTTTTCCCCCATAAATACTTTAAGTGTTTATGTGTTGGATCTTGCCACCATAGTTTTAATATTTGCGCATAAGATACTATTTCTTAATTGTGGTGTTTACATTTATTTGAAACCATGCTTTTTAGCAAAATCCATGTAAAATTACAAATATCCACTTTAGTTCAATACATCCCCTCTAATACTAACAACACTATTTGTCAACATATGCTTTTGTATCTTCCTTATAGCCATTGCAAATAATGGAACTTGTTATATGTCCCCCTGTATCAGTCAACATAAAATATTTTTTTTCTTTTAGACTGATTCAGCAGGATTAACGAAGTCAGAAGAACCAATATTTGCATACAGATGTTATTTTCTAATTCATATCCAGCCTTTTCTCCAGCACCAAACATTCCCTCTTCTAATTTTATCCCATAGCCATAATCTGTGAGGTAAAGTGAGCTGAAATAGAATGGCTGACCTAAAGTAACATGAACTTCCAAAGATGAGTGTCTACTTGAACTTGGGTTTTTCCAATCTTAGTTTAATATCTTTGTAGGATTATCATTTTTCCATCGGTGGTTTTTCAAGCATGCATGCAGTCATATTTCTGGGCTACAGAATGCATTTGAAATGGAAAGCAGGCTTAGATGTAAAGCCTGCAACCAAATCTACTGTCTTAATCCAATTAGTGAATTATTACATGGTGAAGTCCATGTAAAATTTTTGTCAAACTCAAAACATGTCAAATTTTTTGACAAAAGATCAGCTTCCCTAAAGCAGCATAGAAGAAAAGCAAACTGATAAGTAACACAGCCCCCCCCTTTTTTTTTAAAGGAAGCATTAAAAGGAAGGATTGTTATGTGTGTTGGACCTGGTCTTTGGGTGTTAAGTGAATTTCGTTGTATGGGTATACTGTGTATACACATATAATGACAATAAAGTTGTTGTTATTCGGCTGCAGTTGCACCAGTATAGCAACAAATTAAAAAGCGAAACTTCCCTTATAAACCTTTAAACGTGAATACGTAGTAATGCCATTACTAGCCACCCCGAACCGCACCTAAAGCCTGAATAAACTGCTGAAATAAATAAAATATTAAATCGTGATCCTTTACCCACCGATATCCTGCAGAAATCTAGACTTTCTTGCTAGTTAATAAAGGAAAGAGATGCAGAATCCACAAAATTGGGGGGGGAAATCCACCTGACAATGTAGCCGCCCATCTGGACTCTCAGAACCAAGATACCACCAGGCCTCCTTCTGATAATGCAGAACCCCGTCGGGGAAGCCAAGGATAAGCCAGCATTGAACATTAACCACACATTAGCCCAGAGGTCTTCAAACTTGGGCGCTTTAAGACTTGTGGACTTCAAGTCCCAGAATTCTCCAGCCAGCTATGCTATGCTATGCTATATAGCAGTGATGGGCAATTATGGCCCCTTTACGACTTGTGGACTTCATTTCCCAGAATTCCTGAGATAAACATGCTGGCACAGGAATTCTGGGAAATAAAGTCCACAAGTCGTAAACGGGCCATAATTGCCCACCCCTACTATATAGCTATGCTGGCTGGAGAATTCTGGGAGTTGAAGTCCACAAGTCTTAAAGCGCCCAAGTTTGAAGACCTCTGCATTAGCCACACACACACACACACACTGCCTAAAATCCCGGTTCTGTCCGGCAATCGCTCCACAGCACGCGAGAGCAACGCTCCTCGGCTCGTCGCGGCGGAACTTCCCACATCTCCCTTTCTCCGCGCTTCGTGTCCCCCCACCCCCTTTCGCCCAGCCACCCACCCACCCCCCACCGCGCGTTCTTCGCCTCCCTTCAACCCCGCGACGACCCTCTCACCATCTTTGCACAGTCACCGGCGGCTACTTCCTTCCGCGGGCTCCAGGTGACGAGAGCGTGCGGTGACGTCAAATACGCCCGCCCCGACGTGTACGAAATTCTCGCGCGACGGGAGAAGAAAGTACGGTTGAGAAATGAGCTCGGCGCGCGGGAGGGGGCGGGGCTTGGAAAGCTCCTCTACCCGCCAATAGGAGGCGGCCGTTTGCGGAGAGAAAATTGTTTTCTAGCGTACTGTGCTGCGTTTATTCTTCTCCCTTTGTTGACGGGGTGGGAGGGTTAAGCGTCTCGACTTCACAAATTATTGGTTATTATTAGCTGGTTTCTATTTCTGACAGTCCTGCTGGGATATTTTCTCACAGGGAGGTCAAAATAAAAGTGGGGAGGAAAAAGAGTTGCATTATCTTATTTATTTTTTTAATGTTACGGCGTGCAAAATATAGGCGACCCAAGCACAATCAGTCAACGTTTCTTGAACTCTTCTAAGACGGCTATTAAATGCTTGGTTTTATAATAGTTATGAGAACTACTGGCCATCTATTATTCGTGGCCGCCATCTGTTCCATGACTAAAAAGCTCTTATTGTTGTGAAATGTTTCCTGACATTAACCCAAAATCTTCCTTATAGTTTAAATCCATTGTTTCTTAAGCTATATTTTGCAGCAACTCTAAAAGAAGTCTCTTTCACGTTCAACAATTCGGTCCTTCGGATATCCTGCAGTTTTCTCTTTCCCAGTTTAAACATTTAGGCAACTGTTTCTCATACCTTTCTTACTTCAGTGCCTTCCTTTACTATCATTGGTGGTTCTTTGGATATTCTCCAGGCTTGTCATTGTCCTTCCAGCAACATTTCTTTTCTGAACTATGAAAAGGTTAATATATTTACATCCAATACTTTGTCAAAATTAGCACATGAATGGATGGTTTTATTGATATACAATACAATATGGTCTAGTCCTTCGTGTGAGAGATATTTCTGAAGTTATCTTCAAAAGGGCCACCACTGTAAAAAGTGAAGCCTCATTTCCTTGAGGTTTCATTATCTAAACTAATCCAAAAGGAGAAATAGCAGAGGTAGAACAGCATAGAAGGAGCTTGAAACCAGTCTTGACTTCACTCATCAGTGCCCTTTTTTGAAGAATAGCAGGTAAAAAAACAAAAGAAAATGCCCCATTTATAATGGGAGTGTAGTGCTGGAGCATAATAAAATAATGAGTGAATAATTTATTGCCTTATCTTACAGCTATTAATTTAGTGGTAGTCCTTGACTTACAACCATTTGTTCAGTGACCATTCAGAGTTACAATGGCACTGGAAAAAGTGACTTAGGAGTGATTTTCAGCCTTGGCCATACGATCAAAATTTGAATGCTTGGCACTAGATTCAGATTTATGATGGTTCCAGAATCCTGGGGTCGTGTGATCACCTTTTGCAACCTGCTAACAAAGTCAATGGGGAAGCCAGATTCACTTAACAACCGAGTTACTAACTTGTCAACTACAGTGATTCACTTAACAACTGTGGCAAGAAAAGTTGTAAAATGGGGCAAAACTTAACAATTGTCATTCTTAGCAACAGAATTACGGGCTCAATTGTTGTCATAAATCGAGGATTACCTGTAGATACCTACTAATCAAATGACAAGGGTTTTTTTTATTGGTAGGTATGGGCATTAGTATGGGCATCAGTATCATCTTTTAGCAAAATATTTTTAGTGCATCAGCTGTTATGCTTTTGTTCCTTGCTCAAAGACAGCCTCTAATAACAGAATTTTGTTCTGTTGTTTTGCTTAGCATGATCTGCATGCCATCATACCTTAAAATACTTAGTCATATTATAAGAAAGGTTGATCTTTGCCAAATAGTATAGTAGAACAACTTAATACCTGATATTTGAGTGTATTTTTTCTACATACTTATATTTTGCAAAACAAATATTAGCTTAATTAATGTAAGGGATTTTTTATTAAAAAGTATGGAATGTTCTTAAGTTCTGCTTAGCTAATTTCCTAGAAAAAAAGTAAATCTTTCATGTTTCTCTCTTATATTTGTGTTTGTTGATCAGGATGTGAATCATTTACATTTCAAAGTTGTCCTTGTAGATGTAGGATATAGACACGACACCCTCATTACACGTACATAATTGACATATGTTTAGGCTATATAACAAAAGAATGTATTGTTGCACTAATAATTTGGTTTCCCTTAAAAGCAGACTTCCATAAAAGGGTAGCATGCTAAATATAAATAGTGAGAAAGTTTTGCCGACAGGTTTGTTCCCCTTCCCCCCACCCTCCTGGGTTTGCCTTTCTTTTAATTAATCTTTGAAGTTTATAAGGTAGGCGATAATCTTCTCCAAGTTAACAAAGTAAATCTAACCGAGCTCAAAATTCTTACCTCAGAATGTTTATTTGTTTGTTTATGAATGTTTATTCATTCATTCATTAGCTTTATCTCCTGCGTTTCTTCCAGTAGCTAATTTAAGCAGTATATATAACCCTTCCATTAAAAAATGCAGAATGATATTAATCTATACAACTTTAACTCAGAAAAGTTAAAATAGTTTGGACCACCTACTTTTAGCAAATAAGACTGAATTAGCATTAGTTATGTAAACTTGTATTGAATCAGACCTGGTCCACTCTTTCAGTTCATTCTGTTTAAAAAAACACACTCCTATGGTATTGGATATATTCTGTTGCGAATGACTTGAATCATATGCTAGTCTTCTGGTAGCTGGCACCTATTTATGTATTTATTCAATTTGTATGGCCACCCATTTAATCTAATTTGGGGAAGGGGAGCAGGCTGGTCTACCCCTCGGCATCCCTGCAGGAAGCAGGCACCATTTTCGGAGTGGCCACCATGAATTGTGTTGATTCAAAAAATGGCACCCACTTCCAAGATGGAGCCACACAGCCTTCAGGGATACCAACAAGTGAAGTGGCCCACTCTCCTTGCTCAATGTGATCCCCAGAGTTTCAGAACATGCATTGGTGAAGGAGAGCAGAACGCTCCACCCCTTGGCATCCCTAGAATGAGGGGCTCCACCCAGGAAACAGCACTATTTTTTGGAGAGGCTGCAATGAATTGTGGCTGCTCCAAAAATGGTGCCAACTTCTGGAATGGCCTTCAGGTGTGCCAAGATTGGGAGTGACCTGCTCACCTTCCCCAACATAAAGCTTCAGATATCTACAGAAGATAAGTGTGCAGCAGTCGATGATAGGGGGGGGGGGGGGGGGGGGGGAGGGCAAGAGACCTAATGGGGTGGGGAGCAGACCCAAGGCCTACAGGGACCCTAAGGGACAGGAAGTGGAATGTGGATTGCCCCAGGTCTCCCACTTAACAACCGCATTGGGGAAAGCAGGGATAGGGGTTCTTAAGCGAAGCAATCATGGGTGCCTCGCTTAACGACTATCACTTCTTGCAACTATAATATACAGGCTTCATTAGAGTCCTAAGTCAAGGAGTGCTCATGTGAGTAAAATATGTATATTTTTGAAACTTTTACAATAGTTTCCAGTAATAAAAAATAGATACACTTGTGTCTTTTAACTTTTATTTATCCTATTCCTTATGTTCATAAAAACAATAGTGTCAGCCAAGGAAAATTCTCCAGAACTGATAATAGTCAATGTACATAGTTAATTATGAAGATGGTAACTTTCAAAATTTATGATTTGTTTTAAGCAAGTAGGTTATGCTTCTCTGCATGAAAATACATAAATTCAAGCATGGACATTGATTTCAATAAGTGTATAATTCTATTTGGTAATTTATATTGTGTTGACCAATCCATGGTAAGTAGCTTTAAGTTTTCAGTCTTGGAATAGACAAAATTGAGGACAAAAAAAGATACTTTTCAAAAAGATGTAATAGAACTTTAATAGTACAAGCTGTAATGGAAGTATTAACTTACTTTTGCAATGTCAGTAAACAACCTGTTATATATATATATATATAAACTTCTATAGAAAAAATAATAATTCTGTTTGGGAAAATTTCAACTACTAAGAGAACTTTGTCAGGAGTGATTCATGAGCTTGTTTAAGTGAATGTCTTAATAAATGTATTAGAAATAAATATACATACTTGAATAATATTTACATTATATAAGTATATATAGAATTGTAACTGATAGCTGTTATAACAGTATATTGTACTTTGTTTTTTTCTTCCTCCTGTTTTTTTCAGCAGTTTTTATGCATTATTTTCTTCAAGACTGTATGTATTTGCATAGTAATTTTCTTTGTGTTTTGTTCTTTTTCTAAAAAAAATAAATTAAAAAAGTGAAAGTCTTTATTAGCATTCATGAAATAAAATAAACACTTGTTCTTTGATCCCTAACCAACCCTTTCTTGTTAATCTGTGCTAGACTTTTATGTTTCAGGGCTGATTGTAGATCTAGTTATTTGAAAAGTGATTTTGTTTTAAATTATTTAGCTTTTTCTGCATATTAGATAAACACAGGCATGTTTTGCTAAAGATTAAAAATAATTTTCACACAACACTGCAAAACGTAGCAAAGATAATAATGTGTAGGCGTCAGTGTGTTCCAAAACAAAACTCTCTGGGGGCCTCTTTTAACACACTGCTACGTTAAAATCGTGTTCTGAATGCCTCAGGAAACCCCTACTTGAACCCACCCTTTCCTGAAACTGGTGAAAGTATTTTTAAAAATATTGTAGTGAAAAAAGTTGCTGCTAACTTTGCCAGACCAGATTGCTTTGTTTGGTTGCTGTTACCAGTTATTTCAGTTTGCATCCAACATATTGATAATGCTACTGTTTTTAAAAATAACTTTCAATGTAAAAATAAAACAGTCTAGTGGGTGAGGAAGACAGAAATTCTGTTAAGATCAACCTGGATGTTAAAGTAAAATAAAACTGTTAGTTTTAATTTTTCTAAGACTTTCCTAAGACGAGGTGTTTAAAAAGAAAGAGATAGGAAAACCTGATATTGTGGCCATTATGGAATCAGTCCCAAACAAGATGTTATAAACTAACTTTATTTATTTACGTTTGGTACCTCAGTTGTTAAGATTACTATAAACCTGAAACAAAAAGTTTACATCTATCGTATAATACCTCACCCCGCAACTATTTGCTTACTTATCTCAGAATCCTGTTATTTTTGT